ACGAGGGGCAAATCACCAGGGCACGACGGCCTCAGCATTGAGCGTCTTCTGCACTCAGGGCCTCAGGCCTCATCTCTCCAGGCTTCTAGCTACTTTCTACACCCTTTGCATGAGACATTCCTATCGTCCTGAGCAGCTGATGAGAACTATTGTTGTGCCTATAGTAAAAAATAAAACTAGAGATATATCTGACAAATAGAACTATAGGCCCATCTCATTAGCTACTATTATGACTAAGGAACTTAATAGTCTGCTTGAGTGGCATCTCAGTGGATATCTAAAATTACATGATGCTCAGTTTGGATTTAAAAAGAGTCCGTTGTTCATTGAACTCAGCAACGCTGGTGTCGGCTGCTCAATTGATGGGCATTTCGTTAACAGTATAAGCTACGCAGACGACATGGTATTGCTGAGCCCATCGATTAACGCACTAAGAATATTACTGTATATTTGTGATACCTATGCTGAGACTCACCGTCTCATTTATAATGTAAAAAACTGAAGTATTGTTATTTTGAGCTGGATCAAAAATTGAAACAATTCCATCTGTTAAGTTACAGTAACGTACAGTTAAATACTGACACGTTAATCCTCGAGTCAGGCAACTTGTTCTATCACCGGGAGGGCGACCATCTGTCCCAAGGAGGTGTCGGATTTATCGTCCACAAGTCTCTCGTCAACAACGTTGTAAAGATTGGGAGTGTGTTGACGAGAGTCGCGTACCTGATACTCAGAATCACCAAACGGTATTCGCTGAAGGTCATACAGGTCTATGCACCAACCTCGGCACATCCCGATGAGGAGGTGGAGGAAATGTATGAGGATATTTCTAGAGCCATGCATTCCTCCAAAACCCACTACACGGTGTTGATGGGAGACTTCAACGCAAAACTAGGCATAAGAGAAAGCGATGAGCTGAAGTTAGGGAAATTTGGAGTAGGGCAACGGAACCGTAGGGGCCAGCAGCTGGCTGACTTTATGGAGAAAGAGGGACTCTTCATGATGAACTCTTTCTTCCAGAATGCGGCCCCACAGGAAGTGGACCTGGTCGAGCCCCGACGGTTCGACAAAAAATGAGATTGACTTCATTATGACGACCAGACGCCAACTGTTCAGTGATGTCTCAGTGATCGCAAGGGTGAAAACCGGCAGCGATCACCGAATGGTTAGAGGCACACTGAACCTAAACGTTAAGTTGGAGAGATCTCGTCTAATGAAGTCAACGTTCCGTCCCCCTCGTGCTCTAATCCAGAATCCCGAGACTTTTCAGCTCGAGTTACGTAACCGCTTTCAGTGCCTAGAAGATTACAATGCAGTGGACGATATGAATGACAAGCTCGTGGAAACTGTCCATGCGGTCGGAGCTAAGTTCTGCAAGACCCGCCGCAGAAGAACACAAAAACTCTCCGATCACACTCTTAATCTCATGGCTGTTAGACGGGAGATGAGGCTGCAATCGTCAACAGATTTGACAGCATACAGGCAACTGAACAGACAGATCTCCAATTACATGCGGCAAGACTTACGCAACTTTAATACTGCTCGTATTAAAGAAGCGATCGAGCGGAACCAGGGCTCCAAAGTCTTTGCCAGAGATCTGTCTGCCAGTAAGAGCCAACTGTCAAAGCTGAAGACTGAGTGTGGCAGCATCGTTTCCGGGACACCTGAGATTTTGAGTGAGATTGAGAGGTTCTATGGGCAGCTGTACACATCATCGTTGGAGCCACACGCAAGTGTGAGTAACGATCCAAGAGTAAGTCTTATCCGACACTATTCCGATAATATTCCGGACGTCAGTCTAAGCGAGGTTAGAATGACTCTCCAGCACCATAAAAACGGCAGGGCCCCAGGCGACGATGGAATTACAGCGGAGCTTCTGAAAGCGGGTGGAACACCGGTACTTGAAGTCCTTCAGAAGCTCTTCAATTCCGTCCTCCATGGTGGCACTACTCCGGAGGCGTGGAGCAGAAGTGCGGTGGTCTTGTTCTTTAAGAAAGGCGACAACGCTCTCTTGAAGAACTACAGACCGATTTCTCTTCTGAGCCGCGTCTACGTGCTGTTTTCGAGAGTCATTACGAATCGTCTCGCACGCAGACTTGACGACTTCCAGCCTCCCGAACAAGCCGGTTTCCGAAAAGGCTTCAGTACCATAGACCACATACATACCCTGCGGCAGATTGTACAGAAGACCGAAGAGTACAATCTGCCACTTTGCCTGGCGTATGTGGACTATGAGAAAGCCTTTGATTCCGTCGAAATTTGGGCGGTGCTACAGTCCCTTCAGCGGTGCCAAGTTGACTGTCGGTATATCGAGGTGCTGAAGTGTTTGTACAGTAGGGCTACGATGGCTCTCCGAGTACAGAACCAGAGTTCGAAACCTATCCAACTGCAGAGAGGTGTACAGGGTGACAGGTGACAGGGTGACGTTATATCCCCGAAACTCTTCAATGCTGCGTTGGAAGACGTTTTCAAATTACTGGACTGGAAAGGATACGGTATTAACATCAATGGCGAGTACATCACTCACCTTCGATTTGCCGACGATATAGTCCTTATGGCAGAATCGCTGGAGGACCTTAGCACTATGCTCAATGACCTCAATGGTGTCTCCCAACGGATAGGTCTTAAGATGAACATGGACAAAACAAAGATCATGTTCAATGTCCATGTCACACCTATGCCGGTAGTTGTGGGGAGCACTATGCTCGAAGTTGTTGACGAGTACGTTTACCTGGGACAAATAGTCCGACTAGGTAAGTCCAACTTCGACCGAGAGGTCAATCGACGGATTCAACTCGGCTGGGCAGCGTTCGGGAAATTACGACACATCTTCTCGTCAGGTATACCTCAATCTCTGAAAACTAAAGTGTACAACCAGTGCGTGTTGCCAGTGATGACTTACGGATCAGAGATGTGGTCCTTCACTGCTGGCCGTATGAGGACGCTCAAGGTCGCTCAGCGAGCTATGGAGAGGGTATGCTCGGAGTTTCTCTGCGTGATAGACTCAGAAATGAGGATATCCGCAGTTAAAACCAGAGTGACCGACATAGCCCAACGGATTAGTAAGCTGAAGTGGCTATGGGCCGGCTTTATAGCTCGAAGAACCGATAACCGATGGGGAAGAAAGGTTCTCGAGTGGCAGCCTCGTACCGGTAGGCGTAGTGTAGGGCGACCCCCCACTAGATGGAGTGACGACCTGGTAAGACATGCAGGAAGTTGATGGATGCAGGTGGCTCAGGACCGTGCTTTGTGGCATTACTTGGGGGAGGCCTATGTTCAGCAGTGGACTTGTGAAGGGCTGTAATGATGATGATAATGATGATGACAGTTAAAAAGGGTGTACCAATTTAGGTATCTTGGTCACGTTTTAACTGAGGATCTGACCGATGATGCGGACATAGAAAGAGAAAGAAGGGCATTGGCGGTTCGCTGTAACATGCTGTCCCGTAATTGAACTTAATTGACCAGAAAGCAAAACGAGTTCGTCTTTTAAACCAAATTTGAAGCTATACCTCCACAATGAAAACACGAACAAGCGTGTAGTAATGAAACATGGGTTCATTACTTCACGCTTGAATCCAATTTGCAGTCAGCGGAATGGTTATTGCCTGGTGAAAGCCGTAGGAAGCGCCCGAAGACGCAGCAATCAGCTGGCAAGTTTCTAGCCAGTATATTTTGGAATGCACATAGTATAATATTCACAGGCTATCTTCAACTTGAAATACAATCAACAAACAATATTATTGTGTATTAATGGATCGATTGGACAACAAAATCAAGTCCAAGCGACCTCATTTAGCAAGAAAAAAATCTTGTTTCACGGAGACAACGATCCAGCTCATTCTGCTCGCGATACGACCGATAAATTAAAAGAATACGTTACTAAGTAGTTGAACATCTACCGTATTCGCCTTATTGAGCCCCCAAACCACTATTTCCCGTTTCCCCGGTTGAGAAATTGGCTCACCAGGAAGAGATTTTGTTCAAATGAGGAACTTGAGTATGAAAAACGCCTGTTTTGAGGGACTTGACGCGGACCTCTTTAAGAAAGACATCGAAATGTTGAAAGATCGTTACACTAAGTGCATTACTGTAGATGAAGATTATGTCGAAGAAGAAAATCGTTTTGCAATAAAAATATAGTTTTTTATTGCTAGACCAAAGACTTCAGCTCAGGCCATGTTGTATAAATTTATACAGATATATTAGATATTATTATTTAATCTATATATTAGAACAAGAATGCTAAAAATTATTTAGCTATAATTATAGCTAAATAATTTTTAGCATTCTTGTTCTAATATATAACATAAGTTCATCATATCGTGCCAGAGATGCTGGGACTTATCTTCAGACCACTCTCCAATCATAGTAGAACTACATACCATCCCCCAAGAACGCGCCAGAAAATGTGTTCTGCATAACAATAGAACTAACTGGTCTCTATTTCGTGAGCTCACAGACAAAGCATTCCAAGAATCAGTTAGCCTAAAATCGGAAGACGAAATAACGGAAGCGGTGCTATACTTCAACAAGAGTGTGCAAGATGCAGCTTGGTCATCGACCCCACCACCACAATCTAGAAACCTGGATATCCACGTACCGAAACACATATTCGATAAAATAATCAAAAAAATGAGGATACGAAAACGCTGGAAAACAACCAGGCGAAAAAACAACTCAGTCACGCCAACAGACAGCTAAAACACATCCTAGAGAAAGATCGTAATGACGGATTTCACAATTACCTCACCGGCCTGGATACTACTGCTTCCTCGGACTACTCTTTGTAGAAATCCACCAGAAGACTAAAACGGCCTGTCAACGTCTCTCCTCCTATAAGAAAACCAGATGGTACCTGGGCGCGGACAGACCAGGAGAAAGCCAGAATCTTCTCAGAACACCTCTCCAACGTCTTTACCCCTCACCCATATGACGGCTCACCAGAAGATGCAGCAGAAATTACTAACCACTCAAATAACCCAAAAGATACGCAGGAAATGCCTCTTAAATTTACAAAAACAGAAGTTGCTCGAATTATTAGAAAATCAGACCCAAAAAAGGCTCCAGGATACGACCTCATTACAAACCCGTATATACAAGAACTACCTGAATCTGGCATAACTTTCCTTACTTCACTATTTAATGCCATGACCAGACTGCAGTTTTTTCCCCTGGAGTGGAAGGTCGCACAAATTGTAATGCTGCTAAAGCCAGAGAGACAACCTGAAGAAACAAAATCGTACAGGCCCATAAGTCTGCTACCCATCCCATCCAAAATATATGAATCCCTACTGCTACAACGAATCTTGCCTATACTCAAAGAGAAGGAGCTAATCCCTGACCACCAGTTTGGATTCCGCAGTAAGCATGCCACTATCGACCAAGTGCACAGGCTAACAAAATACATCATGGAGTCGCTGGAAGGTAAAGCTTACTGCGCCAGTGCATTCCTGGACATATCTCAAGCGTTTGACCGCATGTGGCATGAGGGATTGTTATTTAAATTGAAAAATGCACTACCAGATCACCTTTACGGGATATTAAAATCATTTCTCCAGCAGCGCCATTTCAAAGTACAACAAGGGGAAGCTCTGTCAGATCTCTGCCCTATAAAAGCAGGAGTCCCGCAGGGCAGTGTACTGGGTCCCATACTCTATTTACTTTTCACCGCGGACCTGCCGACATCTGAATCATTAATCACTGGAACCTTTGCTGACGACACCGCTATACTGGCTACTCATAGTGACCCAAAAATAGCCTCACAAATACTTCAAAAAGGGCTAAATGACATATCCCACTGGCTCAAAAAGTGGCGGATAAAAGCAAATGAAACCAAATCAGTCAACGTAACGTTCACCCTAAGAAGGGGCTCTTGCCCCCCAGTCACACTTAACAACATTGTAGTTCCACAGGCAGATCATGTGAGATACCTTGGATTGTACTTGGACAAAAGACTTACCTGGCAAAAACATATTTTCACTTAGAGAAAGCAACTCGGTATTCAAACGCGAAAACTCTACTGGCTCATAGGACGAAAGTCTCAATTGTCTCTAGAAAACAAAATACTTCTGTACAAGGCAATACTGAAACCTATCTGGACGTATGGAATCCAACGTTGGGGTACTGCATCCCATTCAAACATCGAAATCTTACAAAGGTTTTAAAATAAAGCACTTCGCATGATAACTAATGCCCCCTGGTATGTGCCCAACGAATTACTACATCATGATCTACGCCTGCCTACTGTGAAACAGGAAATCCTACGCCATACTAGAACTTATAAAGAGCGCATCGAACGTCATCCAAATATTCTGGCCCGGCCACTCATGGCAAACCACAACAAAGCGCGACGCTTAAAGCGCAAGATACCACAAGATTTAATATAAACACAAACACAGTAAACCCAGTTACTGTTTAATAATGAGGATGTGACACAGGTCACATACCGAGCACGCCAGCGATAGCACCAACAAACGTACTGCTGAATGTCCCTCAAAGGCGACAGATTGTTGTAAATAAAGGATACAAAAAAAAAACACACCTTCTCATACAGATTCCACATTTTAGTGTGATATAAAATGTGTATCTAATGAACTATTTAGTTATATTCTACAAGACCAAAAACGACGACTGTATGTGTAACTATGCAAGTATGTAATGCAATGCAATGCAAGATTAAATGCTGCTGAGGAATACCACTCAAATACAGATATTGTAGGATGCAAAATGAAACACTGTTTATCGTGAGGCCGTGCTAATGGTACTGAATTTATTATAAGAACAATATGTATACATTGCATTGAAATGACGTCAAACACGAGCACGCGCTCCAATTACGCTAACATATAAAAATGTACCGGTTTACTCGTACAACGACAAAAATTATTTTTACGACAAACAGTTTAAAACAGCAATAACCACAGAGCTGCTTGACTTTATTTTTAAAACATTAATAAACTCAGTTACGCTACTTCATTTTGAGGACCGATTAGTAAAAATGTTTTTATATATTTAGGCTCTATAAAAAAATATCTGATTGCCAAACAAATTAGCTTAATACTACGTGGATAAACCTTGATTTAAAAGTCAGGTTCATTTTATCTGGAGGGAAGTTTGTTCTATCCCTCAGATATTGAGCGCCAGAAAATTATGGTAGGGCTCCTTTAAATGCATTCATTTTTAACCTATAATACCATGGTGTAGTTAGTAATTGAACAAAGTTTCCAGTTACCATCAGGAGGGCTTTCTGGTCGTTTGTTAATCTTATTCTAAAACAAGAGTGCAAATATCTAAATATTAAATGTTAATATTTTACTTTCCAAGTTTATCTAGATGCTAGTGTTACCAGTGGTAAAGCTTTGAATGTTAAACAAGCATACAGTGCATCTGATGGTAATTGGTTGCTTGTAGCCCATAGACATCTACATCTATCCTCGAATAAAAATCAAAATGCAGATGCGTTGTCACCCGTGAGGACTAAGATGGAATGCCTCATTTCCAGTAAAAAAGGGTCTCCGGTTCTCTACACTCACCATACGAAACACAGCAGCATTAAGCTACTATTTGACGTTGGTATTCTATGAGACCGTAGTTCTACACCAGTCGAGTCGAGCCATTCGTGCTGCATCCATAATATAGCAATAGCATGACTCCACCACATATAAATATATTTTTCACAGAGTATACGATAATGGTGGACAACCTTCAAGCGGCATTCGACCGCCTCACCGAGAAGTATATCCATCGAGTGTCTTCTTCGGACGAGGAGATTGCGGTGGAGTACCAGTTACCGACGCCATCACGCAAGCACAAGCTCAAGACCAGTGAATCTCCCACTCGCCACAAGCGAAAGAAAAGAAAATCTCATTCTGATGCAGGTACACTGCAGTGCTTTGCTTACTCATTTCTAAGTTTATGATAAAAGCATCAGGGAATATTCCTTATTATGAACATCTTTGACGGCTCCGTGACGCAGTGGCTTAGCAATGAGGTACAGCACGGAGGGCCGCGAGTTCGAATCCCGCATGCAACAAGTATTTGTATGGCCTACAAGTAATTGTTCTGGGTTCGGATTTTTGTCCTTATTCAATTTCTACACGTCTCTCACAAATTTATTGTAGCATATTAATATTAAGTTGTATGTTTATGTTTATTACTAAATTCGTGAGAGAACAGAATAAACTTAATTTATTATTTTATCATCATCATCATCATCATCATCACATCTCTTCACAAGTCCACTGCGGAACATATAGGCCTCCCCCAAAGCACAACGGTATTATTTATTATATTTGCAAAACATATAAAGAGTCTTTATAAAGTGCACATATCAAAACCAGGGATATAATTTCATCGAAGGAAAAATTATTAGAAATAAATTATAAAAAATTATTTATTTTTTATGAATATTTTAATATTTGAAATTGCAGCTGCTAACCCTATTTAGCATTTGAGTAATAAACGTGCATTTTTTGCCATTAGAAAGCTAATATGATGTAGAATAACATAAGAGTAAAAAAAGTAGGATTAAGGGGACGATTTTTCGAGAAAATTTAAAGTTATTGTAAAAATTATGAAAATATACCGTATTTTCATGAAAAACCTCTTTATTCTAATTTTATGACGTTTATTTTTGAGGAAATTTTTACTTTATTGGCACCGCTTATTATTAACAGTCATTTAAAAATAGCAGCTGCAATTTCAAATTTTAAAATATTCATAAAAAAATAAATAATTTTTTATATACTTTTTTATAATTTTTCCGTCGATGAAATTATGTGTAGTTTCACTGGTTTTGATATGTGCACTTTATAAAGACTCACACTATACATATATATATATATACATTATATCATTGGGACAACAAAGAGAGATAGTGCTCTTTAACTCGCCTTTTAAACACTGGAACTGTTTGAGCCTCACGAATTACAGCAGGAAGAGAATTCCATAACCTAACTGCATGTACTGTAAAAGAGTGAGAATAGTACTTAGTTTTGGTGGAAGGGAAATTTAGGAGGGTTTTTAAATATGATCTGCAAACTGCATCGGGAGAACGAGCAAAGCGGAATCGATCACGTAGATATGGTGGTGATGTTGGATTGTATAGTATGTTAAAGGGGAGACATAGGATTCGGGAATTCCTGCGAAGTCGAATTGGTAGCCATTTTTTGTGATGTCCAGTTTTACAAGCGCTCAAGTTTGTTTAACTGCTTCTCAGTCGCATCCAAATAACAGACATCAGCATAATCAAGAATCGGGAAAATAAGTGTTTGGACAAGAGAAATCTTCGTTGATAAAGGCAAAAAACTTTGCGTCCGTATACTATCTCTCTAGTATACGGACGCAAGGCCACACCACCATCACCCTAATAGTCAGCCAACAGACTTCATAACATTGGTAAACTGGGTAAAAAATAGGCATGGTCATTATTTCATCATTGCATCATTGCAATAAATTTCGGCGAATATTTTAGTTCCACGACTTGCCGCTCACATTTGTAGGTCGTTACTTTTCGGCATATATCAACGCTGTGTATATTCGACTTTTACTCCATCTATTACTTTGCGTATCCTGCAACCGTATATTATAAAGATTTTTAAAGTTTTATGTCAACTCAAATTGATGATTTAATTACTTCCGCAAAGTGAGCTCCCGATGTGGACTGTACGGGGAAGTAAAGACGAACGGGGCCGGAAGGCTCTTACGATTCCCGCTAGGACACGTGGCAAATGAGCAAATAATTGATTACTAGCTAATGGATGCGTGGTCGGTCATTCTGAGTCCCTTTGGAAAGATCGCTGCAAAATCGTAAAAGTGAAGTGAGAATTTTGAGGTCGTCTTGTTTGTTGTTTGAGGTTTCATAACATTTATTTGAATTGTAGATTTACTAATTGTACTGCCTTGTTGTTTGCCGTGTAGTGGCGGTTGAGAATATCCACTACCCCATATCTTCCCGTGGGTGTCGTAAGAGGCGACAGAGGGAGACAGGCAGGAGATGGGCAGCAGCATCTTCCTGATAACAACTGTGTTATAATAAAAAACTGCGGTTGCCAACCCGCTCGCCAAGCGTGGCAACTATGACAAACATAAGCAACGACACAAACAAACGGTTTCACCTGGTAACTGCAAGTGAGCGGAGGCCCAATTCACCCCTTTCCCCCCTCTTGACATAGTAGCGTGTCCTCCTCTTGACATAGTAGCGGAGTTACACTATTCCAGGAGGTTACCAACGCCTCTGGTGACAGCGATCCACCGCTGAGCATCCACGCCCAAGCTAACCTACTCTTCCTGATTGTGGGGGCTCAAGCTGCCCTGCATATTATTTGGGGGGGAGGCGACCCCTGCCACACTATCTACTAACAGTAGCATATTGGTGTAAATAAATAAATAATACGGTTGTAACCTATTTTAGTAAATAAAATAACTAACTGTAACTAATATTTTTTTAATCGGTACTTAAAGTCAATTACCATATTTTTTTATTATAAAAATATTTGTCGCAACGGCATTGACCATACTTATCTCGAGTCAATAATTTCAGGCAGTACACATTTTTATAAAACGTTTGTAACTTGGGTAACATATTCAAAATCCATAATTTGTCGTCTTTGTAGATTTTTAGTACTTTTACTGTATAATCTGGACCAGTCCATATGGCAAGCGTGCAGACATTTTTATTCTCTGTTATTATTTCTCCAGAGATAGGAAATCCTTTTTTTACGTTTAATGACACATTGATACTTGTATTTATTTTTCCCCATTCCGACTGGTAAGAAAGCTCAGCTACAATCAAAATAACTATAATGAGTTAACTATCTGGTATAATAATAATGTGCGAACTGTTATTATGTATCAATTCCACCTTTGGATATTTTATTTTTCGATTGGATCGAGTGTGTTAGTGTGTGTTATTGTCGATGGTTCGCTCTCGCGTGTCTATGTACCTGTCTGTGTTCCGTAAATCCGTATTTATTTTATGAATCTT